TAGTCCTGAGTGTTGAGTTTCGAGTTACAGGAGAAAGAGTAGCGGTGGAAGCACGCAAACGGAGTGAAGTGGAACCAGAAGTACAGAAGAATACAGGAGGTCAGCCTGTGAGAATTTAAAGTGTGATGTGAAGGTTTTATGTGTAATATCTGTAGTGATTTGAAGTGATAGTTTTTGCGTTGAGATCCGTTGCTAGGAGAAAACTAGTATCATTTATTAAATTTTACCCTCCACAATTTTCTCTTTGAACATAACTATTGCATAAATCTAGGAGTATCTGCATAATCTTTCATGAAGCTGACTGGTGCAATGGTAACACTCTAAGACTTGTATCTGGGAAGTGCTCAGTTTGAATCTCAGTTGTGGCACAGGCTATTCTGACTAAAGTTTTTCAAGTACTTCTTGGTGTCTCCATGAAAATTAAGGAATAGTACTCTGATCAGGCCATGAACACCTCCTTCCAAATCGTTTCTAATTCATTATTCACCAATCATTCTACAATTTGACAGTATTCAGTCTGAAATATTGACAGTATCATATAATAAATCGTGTAACCATTCCAGCATCTCACTTAATGCTACATATAAAACCTTGTGGTTCATAAGGCATCACTAAATAACCAATCCAGAACATACCTGACAGTATGGATCAGTCAGCAGACTCTGCACAGAGATGAGAACTTTCGATATGGTAAGTGCCAGGCTCCAGTTGTGCTGTATCGAGTCAATGCCAACATGCCCATGTCGAGACACATTTGGGTGGAAGATGCGTGTCAGGAAACGCACTATAGGTGGACACATTGGGTAGCTATATGGAATTTGCAGGTACAGATAAAACAGCCCACCCTCATAAGGGCTGCCAACAGGACCAGTTATGGTTGCTTGCCAGTGGCAACACTTCTGATCCAGAGGGGCAGCTTCTATTCCTTCAGGTGGATCTGTACGCAGACCTGAAGCAAGTGAGAGCCTTTCGTACATTATTTAAATTCATAGCATCCTGATGCTATCAGATTAGTTAATTTAAATTGCCTTTTACACTAAACTTCTCTGTAAGTGCAACTACAACCTACCACATTAGATGTTGCAAAAGATTAATAAATTCACAGAAGAAATCCAATTTGCTACTTCTGTTGCTCTTCAACTACATAACACCATAATAATATTTTTGGACTACAGAAAATGGCAAATGTATTTCATCATATATATCAGCTGCTAATGGCTGTACAAAACCGATTAATTATGTTCATCCAGTGATGAGATAAAGAATGTGTTTGAACAAGATACCAGTGAATCTTGGTTCCGCATCATAAAGGAAAAGGTAAAGTGACCCCTGTAAAAGGACATGGAGGCCTGTAGGGTTGTGAGATGTCAAGGCCCCCACATTTTTCTAGGCATTTGGCTCACAGATGGCAGTGAGGTTGTCAGCCTCACAGGCCAGCTTCCCTTTAGCCCCAGAACGATTCCTGGTACTCTTTTCTGTTAGAGGCTGAGTCAACTCCAGGGTCATAGTGCAGCTGG